CTTGACTCACGGGAGAAAGGGGGGGGCATCAACCTGGACCAATATTCGTCTCGCTTCACTAAGAGACGAATGCTGCACGCGAAACGCGCGGACCACAAAAACGCAAGCGGATATGCAAATTGCGTCCCGGCACGCGTCCTCGTCTACCCATGATGCGATTTGTCATCGCCGACCGTCATCTCTCTCTCTCTCTCTCTCTCTCTCTCTCTCTCTCTCTCTCTCTCTCTCTCTCTCTCTCTCTCTCTCTCTCTCTCTCTCTCTCTCTCTCTCTCTCTCTCTCTCTCGGTTCCTTCGCTGCCGCGTGCGCGCCGCGCCACCGGCGCCTGATTTGGATTTAGTAACGACGACGATATTATGACGACGGCGGTTTCGCGCGTGACTGTACACTGTAGGCGTGAATGGAGATTTGTACGGCCACGCCCCTCTTTTCCGCCAGCCCGGTTGCAGGCAGAGACACGCGTGCAGAGAGCCACCACGGCCGTTGCCTCTTTTTTCGCGCGGCGCGAAGCGCCAGAAAAAAGGTCGGATTTTTGTTGTTGTTGTCGTCGTCGTCGTCTCGGCCGCGGTGACGCCGACACGACACGCGCCCCACTCCGCCGTTTTTGTTTATGCCGAATTTACAGCCCCCGGAGCGAGGCTGCGACGCGCGGCTGCGAGGGAATACGACACGACGCCGGTCCGTTACCTCTTCCTTGTCGCGCTGGTTAAACTCTTTTAAATTATCCAGCGGGGTGCCTGCTGTCCGTCTCCGGGCGGACGGACGGACGGACGGACGGACGGACGGACGGACGGACGGACGGACGGACAGTCTGGACAAGCAGCGCTGGGCCCTTCGCGGCTTTGAAGATGACGGCGGCGGCGGCGCGCGGCGCACCCACTCCTCAAAACCACTTCGCTCCCTTTCTTTTTCGACCCACTCGTCCCCCCCCCTTTCCCTCCTTTCCCCCTCCCGCTTCCGCCCTTGCCGCTCAGGGGAAAAAATAATGGCGCTGGCGCTCGACAATGGGTTTTCGCAAGTGGCTGTGAAGGAGTCGAAAACTCTTTTGGGCGCTCACGCCCGGCCCCTCCGCGCCAGCCAGGCCAGCCAGCGACCGGGCGGCGGGCCGGGCCAGGCCGGCGACGCAGGCGCAGGGCGCAGGCAGGCCAGCCACCCTAACAAGAACCGGGCGTAAGGGCCGAGGTGCAGCCCTAATGCCCTCACATAAAGCCGCTGCGTGGCCCTGCCGCCCTGCCGCGCCACGGTTGGCAGCAATGGCGGAGCTGTTTGCGGCGGGAACTCGGCCGCGGGACTCGCAGTACTGGAACTCGCAGTGTGGTGGTCGCTCTGTCTCAAGTCCTCTTTCCGGAGAGCAGCGAGCCCTACGTTACGACCGCGGTCACGACTAGGACACGACGACAGGCCGCGATCGGCCTGCAGCGTGGTACCATGGTGAACACGATAACCATGGTGAACACGATAACCTTGGTGAACACGATAACCATGGTGAACAAGATAACCATGGTGAACAAGATAACCTTGGTGAACACGATCACGTTGGTGAACGAGAGCAACATGGTGAATACGAGCGCGAGGAAAATAATTGCCATAAAAAGTCGTGGTGACTGCATAACCTTGACCACGTTCATCGTGGTGCCCGTTCGCACACTAGTCAGTAACCAAAAAAATGGCATAATGAAGCCAAAGTAGGGGTTCGTTTTCTTTGCCGCGCTGACCCGAGCAATCATGGTGGTGTTGAACATGCGGACCGCGCCCACGCCCACCTGAGTGACAACCAAGGCGATGGTACCGACAATACGAGAGGGCGGCGCGCAGAGGCGTGCCGTCGTGCCGACCAGTGTGGTGGTTTGGCAGCTTTGACAGCCGGGCGGCCGGGGCCGGCCTGGGCAGCCTGGGCCGTGATGGGGCAGGGACCTGTCAATTAACGCGGCGAGGGGCATCGATCGTGGGGGGGGGGCGTCCGCGGATTGCCCCTTGATGGCGAAATGTGGCTGGGAGTCCGGTCCGCCTCTCCCAAGGACGAGAATCTATTCCTGAATGAGGTTACGCCGCGAAGTAGGGCAGGTCGAGAGACGACACCGCCGCGACGTCGCCCCTTCCCCCAGTGGGGCTCCCTCCGCGCGGCCCCGCACTCGCGGCGTGCGGAAGCAGGCGCGCCTCCTTAAAACTGCAGGGCTTTTAATCGCGAAGGTAGGCCACCGCCAGCCAGCGCTGTCTCGGGGGGCACGCGGCCTGCCTACCCTCGCGGCGGCCTGGCTTCCCCGTCGTCGCGCACGGTGGGGGCGGGGCGGGGTGGAGGCCGACAGGGGCCGAGCAGCCACCAATTGGCTTCCTGCACTCGGTGGCTTCGCCACGGCACCGTTGCATGTCACGACCTTGACACTGAAGTAGCCAGCGTTTTCCTCGTTGGAGGTACCGCTGTCTGTCTGTCTGTCTGTCTGTCTGTCTGTCTGTCTGTCTGTCTGTCTATCTGTCTGTCTGTCTGTCTATCTGTCCGTCTGTCCGTCTGCCCGTCCGTCCGTCCGTCTGCCTGTCCACCAGGGCGTGGGTGGACCGAAGCACACCGGCGCTAAATGGCAGGCAGAGAGCCTCGTGTAAAATGCATGGGTCCGCTCGAAAAAGGGGAGCAGCATGGTTTTACCTTTACCCGGGCTGCCGCTGCCTGGTGGCGTCAGCGCGTCGCAGGGACACGAGGCAGCGCGTCCGCAAGGCGCTAATGCTCGCTGTATAACGCAATGCGATCGCAACGTCCAAACCGTGACCGACACACAAAAAAAAAAATCTTGCCCGCAGCCGGAAATAAGCGTTCCGAAGCTTTTCCAAGTATAGCACCTCCTTGAAAAGACTGTGCTGCGAGCTGTGATGTTGTACGGGGGCGTCCATGATGCTCTTTAAATTGTACGTGGTGCTCCTTGATCTTAATTTATCAGTGTGTGTCCGCGACTGTGACGTTATGGAAATCGAGAAAAGAGTCAAAACTAACGGCGAGGCTGTCGGTGACGTCATCGCTGTCGTCATTCTTTGCGCGGTTGCCGCGGTCGCGCCCCCATCACCGCCAAACTCTGCTTCTCCTTCTTCTCCTTCTCCGCGCGCCCTTTTTGCTTTGTCCCTGGCGCCCTCTGTGCCCGTCCCGGCCCGTCCCGGCCCGTCCCGGCATTGTCGCGCATCCGGCCGCCTTTTTGCCGGCCTCGATGGCCGGCAGCGGGAGCGTCACCGGGACCGTCACCGGGACCGTCACCACGGCGTCGTCGCCGCCGCGCCGTCACCGGGACCAGACGAGGTCACTGAATCCCTTTGCGACCAAAACAAAGGGCATGAATGCGCGCGCGTTCGGCTTTCGGGGGTTACTAGGGCGGGGCGGGGCGGGGCGGGGCGAAGGCGCCTCGAAGGGCCGCGGGCCGCGCCTAGGGCCGGGGGGTGGGAGAAGCGCGGTGAACCCTCGCCGCCACGCCCCGCCACGCCCCGCCACGCCCCGCCACGCCCCGCCACGACAACCTTTGCAACGCCCGGCCCGGGCGCCCGCCCCAGCCCGCCCTGCGCCGTGGCTCCCCGCTCCGTTGAAAAGTAGATTCCATGATCCATCAGTTGGAGCACGGCGCTCGGCGCGGAGCTCAAAATTGCGGGGCGACAATTGAAAGTCAAATCAGGGGACTGCGGACTCTACCTGGCGGGGAGCCACGCACCGCGCACCCACCGTGGTGATCTTTGGTGTCAAAAACCCCTCAGCCTTGTGTGTTAAATAGCTTGGGAGCACCAGCCTCTCAAAGTTGGTGAAAAAAATGGATAGTTTTTCTAAACTTTCCGTCTCGCAAAGGCCAGCGCTCGGGCGGCGCGGTGACGCACGTGCTCGCCGCGGTCCCGTTTACCCCCACTCCCCTTGTCTTTCATTATCATCGTTATGCAAGGACTCATCTGTCCGGCTCCGGGAGACAAAAGACATTCGCCCGGGCCTGCAATAAACTGCGTCTCGGGTGGCCTTGTGCGCTGTGCGCGGGGCGTGGCGGGGCGGGGCGGGCGGGGTTGCGCTGGAGGTGGTGATAAAACCGAAATGAGTGTCCTGCTATTCAAACGGCACGAGGCTTGGACCCGATGAGGGTGGGCGTCGCTGCCATGCCGCCTTGCAGCGTTCGTCCTTCTCGCTGGCCTTGCCGGGGCCTTGCCGGGGCCTTGCCGGGGCCTTGCCGCCTTCGAGTTCCGGGTATGCCTTTCTCGGACCCCTCGCCCCTCGACTGCTCTCACTGGATGCCGGGGAAGAACGCTCGCAATCGTACCCTCGAATCGCAACAGCTGGAAATGGCAACCTTAAAATCGTGTTCAAATAATAACCAATTGAACCGGCCGCTCCTAGAGGTAGTCAGGGTCGTACCCGAAGAAGGGTCGTACCCGAAGAAGGGTCGTACCCGAAGAAGGGTCGTACCCGAAGAAGGGTCGTACCCGAAGAAGGGTCGTACTCTTCGGGTCGCGCCCTAAGGGCCGTACCCCTAAATCATCCACCACCCAGTCAATACGGGCCCGTCACGTCCAACTGTGACAGCCGTCCACCGCGCTCTCTCTCTCTCTCTCTCTCTCTCTCTCTCTCTCTCTCTCTCTCTCTCTCTCTCTCTCTCTCTCTCTCTCTCTCTCTCTCTCTCTCTCTGCCACTGGAAATGAAACGTCGCGAACGATTTGCCATCAGAGGCAACGGGTGGGGCAAGTCCCCTGTGAGCCTCGGACGAGGGGGGGGGGGCTTGTCACGCGCTGGAGCGGCCCTCTGCGTGCCCTCCACCACCTCCTCCTGGACGCAGTGCCTTCTTGGAAAGGAGGGGGAAAAGACAATTCGCAGTCTCAGTCATTTTCTCTTTACCTCCGTCGCTGGCATTGCTCCACGTCCTGCACGTGCTAAGTGTCCCCCCCCCCCCCCCCCCCCCCCCCCCCCCCGAGGCCGGATGCTGTCTTACAGTGAATCTCCACCGTGCACCACCCGACGAAAGCCTTTACTAACCTGGTTTCTTTCCCGTTGCAGATTGAAGACGCGATGCTCATGTTCGACAAGCAGACCAACAGGCACCGAGGTGAGTCACATTTGTTTTTATTTTCGGTCGACGGGACTTTGAAAAATACGGCCTCGGCCAGCTTCTGCCGCGGGATGGCCTCGACCACGGCCTCGACCACGGCCTCGACCACGGCCTCGACCACGGCCTCGACCACGGCCTCGACCACGGCCTCGACCACGGCCACCTCCACGGCCTCGACCACGGCCTCGACCACGGCCTCGACCACGGCCTCCTCCACGGCCTCGACCACGGCCTCGACCACGGCCTCGACCACGGCCTCCTCCACGGCCTCGACCACGGCCTCGACCACGGCCTCGACCACGGCCTCGACCACGGCCTCGACCACGGCCTCCTCCACGGCCACGGCCACACACCCCTTCCAGTCCAGACAAAGAGGCAATGTTGCACGTTGAAGAGGCCGACGTTACTGTCCGGGCCGCAGCCCATGTAATGAAGGGCTGCAATTTGTGAGGGGGGGGGCTCCCTTCGCGGGGCTTTGCGCGGAGACTTACAGCGGGGAGGGGCGTTTGGGGCGACCCCCGCGTTAGGCCGTGACACCGGCGAGAGTAGTGACTCTGGGAAAGCCTGGGCCGGGACACAAGGACACAAGCAGACAGGCCGCAAGGACATGAGCAGGATACGGGAAGGCCACGAGGATCTAGATTGATACAGATTTACTCGGTAGAGAAGGGGTCGCCTATCCGCATTCCCGGCCTTTTCAACTCGTCCAGCGTCTGGTTTTTAAGCTCCCTTCCCGTTCTTCGGCTGCCCTCGGCTCCTAGTCCGCGGCTGGGTTCGCCTCCCGGACGTCTCCGAGAGTCCGCGGCTGTCCATTAGCCTGAGTGACAGGGCGGCGCGCGTCGCGAGGGTGGGGTGGCGTACCGCGGGGCGTACCGCGGGGCGTACCGCGGGGCGTACCGCGGGGCGTACCGCGGGGCGTACCGCAGGGCGTACCGCGGGGCGTTCCATGGTTCCCTCATCGCTGTGACCTCGTGACCAGGCGCGGTGACCCCCCGGGCAGCGCCGCGGGGGCTGCAGGGAAGGGAGGCGGCTGTCTGGCGTTCCATTCAATACCGGGCGAGCGTGGCGCCAGGCACGGCGCCTGGGGGCCCCAGGCGGGGTGGGGGCCTCCCCCCTCCCCCTTCGTCTGCTTATTCGGCTTCGTTACCTTTCGGGCTGAAGCCTGAACCGCTCCCTGTCACGGCGAGCGCGCTTTCCGAACCATCCCCGACAGGGCGGCCGAAGGGCCCCACGCTACGCCCCTGCTACGCCCCTGCTACGCCGTGCGCGTGGGGCGTGCGGGCCCAACGGGCCAACCCCCCATGCGTGTGTGCGTCTGTCTGTCCGCCTGTCTGTCCACCTGTTCATCTCGTCTGTCTGTTTCCGTAAAGTCGAGTGTGCGTCCCTTCCCCTTCCCGTTCGTGTTATAAGGAGATAGTCGAGTTGGATCGCAAACAGGGGGCCGGGGTTGTGTCTGTCCGACAAGGAAAGGGGGGGGGGAGAGAAAGAGAGAGGAGAGAGAGAGAGAGAGAGAGAGAGAGAGAGAGAGAGAGAGAGAGAGAGAGAGAGAGACGCGCTCGATCTCCTCAGAAAGCACGTCGTCGTCCTCGTGATGCGCTCCTTTTTTTCCCCCGCAGGAAACGTCGAGGTTGGCGTCGGGAAATTAAATTTTCACTGTTGGCCGAAACGCCGCGTCGCGCCGCGCCCCGCAGAGAGCCTCGATGCGGCTTTTTGACACAGCGTGCGATATCGCGTCGTCGGAAGGAAAGGGGAAGGGGACGCCACTGCTAGCAGTGACCTCTTTCAGTCATGGAATAACTTTTTTTGTTGTTGTTGTTGGTGCTCCTGTCCTTCCCCCTATTATTTTTGTATTTTTCTTTGCCAATGGAGGACCGCTCCCTGCCCGCCCGCCTGCCTGGCCTGTCGGCAGCGCCGGGCAGCGCGGCGGTGGGAACATCGCCTGTCGAGGCGAGTCCAAGTCCTTTCCTGTGCACCCCAAAAATTCACGCATCAATAACTTGTTCATTTTTACTGTCCCGTTGCTTTTCTTTCGAAAAAAAAAGTCTCCAAAATGATATCAACTCATCACAAATTTAGTTCATTTTCTTCGCGAAGACCCTTTGACCCATTTCAGTCCAATGTTTATTGAACGTTTTCATTCTCAAAAGAAGGGGAGCTTTAGTCAAATCAATTTTTTTTATTTGGGAGTAAAACAAGGCGGTGCGGGGCATGCCGCCATAGAACCTCGTCCCTCCTCCTTGCGGCGAAAAGTCGTGAGTCCTTCCGATTGTGCTGCATCACGTTTAATTTGGCAGGCTGTAAACTGCCCCGTCCCCGTCGCCCTGGATCGCAATACGCCCCCATGATCCATCACACGCGGTGCCCCCGGCCAGACATGGCCGTACACCGCACACCGCGCCTTTTTGCTTTCCTAGAACGTCTAGTCTTCTTCCTTTTGTGTCTTTTTTTCTTTTTTTGCGCGGTTTCTGGTTTTAAGCGGCTGACGCTGGAGCACCGCACGCTCACACACTCACTCTCGGACACACACACACACACACTCACACAGGCGCCCTATTCTATGCTCTGCAATTAAGTCGGTCTGGTTCTGCAGTTTTTCCGCATCCCCTACACTGCGCCCCACTTTTAATTTTTGTCTAGATTTTCCCCGCACGCTTTTTTTTATATTTTCCTTCACTTTTTCCTCCTTTTTCTCTCTTTTTCGAACCGTGTCTCCGCGGAATGCACTATGCGCAGCGCGTATATATAAAAGTATGAAAAGCCGTAACCTGACCGTAAAAACGTCAGAAGCAGGATTTGGCGGCGGTGTGTCTCTGCTGCGCCTCGACGCACGCCGCCACTGCACTGCCTGATGGTCTAGAGCCGCCTGCCACGCGCCTGTCGTGGCCGCGCTCGTGTGTGTGTGCGTGTGCGTGTGCGTGTGTGTGTGTGTGTGTGTGTGTGTGTGTGTGTGTGTGTGTGTGTGTGTGTGTGTGTGTTATTGGACATAAAAGGGATCGCCCGCCCCCTTTCCAGCGCGGTGCGCTGCACTACTCGTCAATGACATCACACTTCGACCGGGCCGGCCGGCCAGCCAGCCAGCTTCCCGCAAAGCCACCGCGGTGCGTCGAATTATGCCCCCATGGGCCACGCCCCCTCGCCCCTCCCCCTCTTTCCCTGACCGCCCCCTACTCCCCCGCGCGCCGCCCCCGCGAGAGCCGCCCCACGGCCCGTAACTGTGCCCCCTGGGGGCAGCGCGGGACAGCGCGCGAGGCTGCTGACCGTTGGTGTGTGTGTGTGAGTGTAAATGGGAGTGTGAGTGAGTGAGCACGTGTGTGTGAGGGGGAGGGGTGGGGGGCGTTCACTTGGTGGCATCCCTTCCTACGTGGCCCGCCGTTTACCTTTTAAATTATTGGACGCGGTAAACTTGTGCCGGCGTGCGGTCTTGCGTGCGAGCGTGCTAGTGCACCCGCTACTAGCGGTGTGGTGGCACCCGCTTCCCCCACCCGGGCAACTCCACTATACTTCTATATACCGGGTAATTCGCTTTCCGAGGACGACCCGCGCGTTACCCGAAATGCATGCACTGTACCTCGCGCGGCCCCCCACCCCCTCCCTTTCCATTTAATCAAGATCTAGCAGTGGCGGTGCGGAAGGGGTGGGGGGAGGGGGGAAGGCGACGCGTGGATTTGTTTTGATCCGACTGCAGAGGAACTTGTATTGCACGGCGCCCCAAGGTGCCCGGCGTCGCCCGGGCCACGCGGGAGCCCCGCCGGGGGTTCGATTGGAATCAATACTATAGTCCCCGCCCCGCCCCGCCCCGCCCCGCCCCGCCACGCCCGCCGTCCTGCCCGGAAACTTCCCCAACAGACTCGAATCAACTTCTTGTCTTATCGCGCGGCCCTGCTGGCTCCACCCTGACTGCCCTGCCTGGCACCACCCCCTCAACCCCATCATTTTTCCGGTGGGGCCCGGCCGAGCCCCGCCGCCGGGACGAGCCAACACAGCCACGAATTAGCCAATTCGGCCCTTCCCCCCCCCCTCTTCCCGCGAGCAATCCGACGACGTCCGCGGCTCCGCGGCCTCGCGGCCCGTCCATCGCGTGCCGACCGGAGGTGGCCTGGTAGGTGTTCCGGACGCCGGTTCCGCCGCGGCGCGCCGGCCGCCCTCAGATCAACTATTTATGTCCGCGGCGGTGTCCTCAACCAGATCAAGCCGTCCGCCGGCCTTGGATTGAAGCATCAATCAGTCATGGCCTCGATCGAATCTCGAAGTACAGCCCTGCCGAGCTGCGCCGAGCCGGGCCGGGCCGGGCCGTGCCGTGCCGAGCCGTGCCGGGCCGCCACACGCGACCAGCTGACGGGGCCGTACGATACATCACGCGCTAAGTCCGGAGCACTCCTTGATGTCACATTACACGACCCTGTTTTGTCTTCTGCGGCCCTTCCAAGGCCAGGCCCCTCCCCCTCCCCTGCCCCTCCCAGCCCTGCGCGTCTTACAGGCTGATCCTTTCAGGGACGGATGTCCGCGTCGCCATGGTAACCGCGACGCTCTAAGTGGGTCTTTCGTTAGTCATGAGCTTCCCCCGGTCCGGGCCTTTTCGCCCTCGACCCCCCCCCCCCCCCCCCATTCCCCAGGCCGACAGTGGCAGAGGTGGCTCGGCCTGGTTGAGTCCGCGGTCGCCATGGCGACGGGCGGCTCTCTCCGGTTGAGTCCGCGGTCGCCATGGCGACGGGCGGCTCTCTCCGGTTGAGTCCGCGGTCGCCATGGCGACGCGGGACTCTCCGGTTGAGTCCGCGGTCGCCATGGCGACGGGGCTCTCCGGTTGAGGCCGTTTGGGCAAGTAAAGTACCCATTACGGCGTGCTGGCCGTGCTGGCCGTGCTGGCCGGGCTGCCCGGGCCGGCCACGTGCGAGGCAGAACAATGCAGGCCTGCCGACAGGCGGACAGACCGGGCCATTGTAACTGGCGGCGTGGCGCGCGAACATACGGCGCTCTCTCCGGCGGCGCGGCGCGACGGT